TGGACATAAGAGGAGGGAGCCAGGGGGCTGGCTTCTCCTCTCTGCGGGGAGGGTCCCTGCCCAGCCTGTCTCGGGGCACCCCATGCACTCAGCTCAGCCTGGCTCCCACCAGAAGCAGCCCAGGTTGGGGAGGAAGGGGGGAGGGGCAGGGAACTAGCCGGGACAAGGGAGAGGGTCACAGGGGAGGGGGGTCAAAGACCCCTCGCACCTGAGGCCGCAGGAGGAAGTCCATGGCTGGCAGGGCAGAACTGGGGAAGGAGGGGGAGGGGACCGGCCGTGCCCCTTCCGAGTCACGTGCCCCAAGGGCCAAAGAGACCAATAACGAAGCTGATTGTGGCACTGGGGTTAATCATTAGACTCCTTAGGAAACTCGGGAGGGGGCCTTGTGGGCTATAGCCACATGGGGGCAGGGAGGGGCGGGCCTGGGTGGCACGTGGGGCCAAGGGGTGGGGCCGGCTGGGCCAGCCCAGTGTGGACTTGACCTCGGATTCTAAGGCCAGGTCAGAGAGGGATAATTAGGTTAGAGACCCAGGGTCCTCAGAGTTCCTCTCTGCTGAGGCTAACCTATTTGGGTCTTCAGTAAACAGCATCAGCTCCCTCCCCAGGAATAAAAGACGCCTGAACCCCGGCCCCCTCCCCCAGCTCCCACCCACCGCACTGCCCGCCCCTCCCCCACCTTCCTGCAAGGTCCGGGCCCAGATGGCAACGCCCCTCCCAATCTACACCACCCCCCCACGTCCCCCCATACGCAGCCCTGGCTGGCGAGGACCCTTGGCAGGATGGCACAGAAGCTAAGGTCAGGGCCGGCTGACCTGGTGGGCAACACTCACCGTTCGGAAAGAATCTGCGCCCGAGGCGGGGCACCGGGGGGCGCTGCTCATGGCCAAATCTTAGCCCTTTTCGCTGTCGCTGCGGCTTTCAGGGCAACGAGGCGGAGGCATAACCTGGGTAGGGGAGAGGCCCGGTCACCATCTGAGAGGGGCAGGCTGGCAGGGCGCCCAGCCAGGGGAGGGAGGGAGCCCGCCTGCCACGCCAGCCACGCGGGTCTCTGCGCTGCTCAGGCTGTGAGGGGCGTTGAGTGGCCCTTAGAGGTGGCAAGAGCAAAGAGGAGAGTTACTTATGGGAAGAAGAGACAAGAACAAAGAGAGAGAAGAAAACTGAAGAGAAGGGGCCAAAAAGGGCCAAGAGACTGAGCAGAAGGAGGAGGAGGAGAGAGAAGGTGGGAGAGGCCGCAAAAAAAATGTGGGAGAAAGGAGTCAAGGCCCAGTCCTGGAGAGAAAGCAACAGAGACGGGGAGGGCGTGATAAAGAGGAGAGAGAGAAGGGGAGTGAAGGGCCCAGACCCAATGGGAACCCTGCCTGAGGTGGGCCTGAGCTGGGAGGGGTGTGGTGGAGAGAGTGAGACACCCCATGAAGCGAGCAGGGAAGGAGGGGAATGAGAGAACTTGGGGAGAGCCCAAGACGGCAAGCCAAGCCAGGGGTCTCGGCAGGGAAGGGGACCCCCTCCCCAGTGCAGGCCAGGCAGGGAGACTCCCCTCCTCCAGTGGTGCAGGGGCAGGCAGTAGAGAATCAGGCCCCCTGGGTGAAGGGCAGGAGACCAACTCTACTCACTCAGTGGGAGGGAGGAAGGGACAGAAGGTGGGCACAGGCCAGGCCAAGCTTTATAGTGGGGGAGGGGCATGTGACAGGCTGTGAGGGGGTGGGCACAGGAGCCCTGAGGATCTGCCCGAGGGGCAGGCCGGATCCCTCCCCTCCCTAGTCTGGGGACAGGAAAATCTGAGTGGCAGGGCTGCCACCTCCTGGCCCTCCTGACCGTGACTGTAGGGAAGGCTGGGAAGGACACTGGGTGTGCTAGGGGTGGGGGACAGAAGGGGAGCCGTAGGGCTAGAACCCAACTGGTGCAAATCGGGGCACCAATTCCTAGTGGGGGCACCCCAAGGGGGTACCCAAGGCTTTCTAAAGGCAAAAACACCAAAGGTCCCTTGGTGTGGTGTTGGTGAGTCGAGTTGCCCAACTTAGGGGTGAGACAGGTCAGAGTAGGCTCAAACCATACAAATGTGGGGTTCAGCCCAGGGTGGGAGCCTGGGTGACACATTCCTGGCAAGCACTCCGACTCAGCTGACCACTCTCTTCACCCTCCCCATCAGGCCCTCCGCCAGGGCAATCCCGTGGGAGCAGGGGGACAGTCTGGAAAGGGTGTGGGGAGAGCCTGCCCTGAGCACCTGCAGGTGCCCACTCCCACCTCCAGGCTGTGCCCTCCCGTGCTCCTCTGTCATCCCCTCCTCTCTTCATTCACGCCCCTCCGCCCCCTCCCCCGCTGTCCCAGAACACAAAGCAACTTCTGTCCAGAGCATTGGTGCCATAATCCGGGTGGGGGCACATTCCGGGGACCAGCCCCGACCGGCCCGGAGGATTAGCCTTTTTTCCCCCTGCCCAAAGGATTAGCACGTCGGACCCCTACTAGGGCATTAACCACCCCCCAAGTGAATTCGTACATTCCACAGTTCCTTGGAGGAGGGAGGATAAGGTGGACTCTGGATTTCAGGCAGCGTCCCCAACACCTAGCACAGAACTCCCCGCCCAAACAAACCGAACCCAGAGAGTCAGATCCAACTTTGCGGGGTCGTCTTTCCCATCCCCACCCAGCTGCTCCCTCTTCTGCCTCACCCCTAGTCCCCACCTGACCCGCCACCCCCTTTCCCGGCTCCGCCTCCCAACCCAGAGCTTGGGGGCGGAGGCCCCGGGCAACCCCCAGGCCGGGCGCCTGGACAAAACAGTGGGGCCGCGCAAGGGAGTCGCAGGGGAGGTGAGTTGCCTGGAGCCGGCCTGGAGTGGGAGGGTCGGCGGCACCTCCCCAAGACTACCCCCTCCTGGTGGCAGGGGGCGCGGCACCCGGGCTTTTGGGAACTCGTAGGATGCGAACCCCGGAATGCCCGCTTCCGACTAGCATCCGTTCGCCTCCCCATCCTTCTCCCCAGACCTCGATTCCCCGCCCCCAGTCTCCGCCCTTTCCTCCACTTCCACTCCCTCCGCACGAGTCCCGAGTTCTCCCCTCTCCTCCCCCTCCCTTCCTCCCTCCGCGGCCCTGGCCCTCCCCCGCCACCACCTCTCCGCTTACCCGCTTGGTCTGGACCTCGCGCCCGGGGGTCTTGGGGTCTCTCCCAGTCCTCCGGCGCCCTCGCGCGCTCCCGACGACTCCCCCGAGCCCACCCTGGGGCGCGCCCCTGCCGCTCCCAACTTCTCCCAACTCAACTTTCCCCCGCGCCGCGGGCAGGCCAGCCCCCTGCGTGCGCGCCCCCCAGCGCACCGTGCGCGGCCCCGCCGCCGCGGGTGGGGAGGAGGGGAGCGGGGGCCGAGATCAGGGCGCGGGCGGGGGCGCGCTTCCTGGCACTGCCCGGCACCGGGAGGCCGCCCCGCTGCCCCTCGCCCCCGCCCCGCAGGCCGCCACCTCGGGCTTCCCCTCTCGGGGCCCAGGCGCCCCGGGGACGCCGTCTCTCGGCTCCATTACGGCAGCTCTGGGCGGAAAGGAGCCCGCCTCACGCGGAGGATCGCAGGCAGGGAAACGCAGGCACAGGATGGCCAGGAAACGCGGGGCGGAAAAAGTAGAAATAGAAATACATCGGGGTCAAGATTTTCTTGCGCCCCTCACTCCGCCCAAATACCGCCAGTGCCTCCAAAAATGCCCCTCTCTTTGCCTGGGGGACGGGTGGCGAGCGAGCGAAAGGGGTGATAGCGACTCGAGCGTGGCTGCCCATTATCCTGAGCTGACCTAGGGTGCCTTCTTAGGCACCCCCCACTTTGCGAGAGGGACAGAGATTCCCGAGACGGCCTCCTTCGTCGTCCCTGTTACCTTCACATTTCCTGGCCACCCTATGCGTGGCCATCACCTATGTAAAGACCTTTGTGTGTGTGTGTTCCCGACTAAATTATAAGTTGTTCCAGATAAGGAATACACTTTTCGCTTCTTTTCTTTAGTCTGCCAAATGGGTAAAGCATAGCATCGTGTGTGCAAAAGCATTCAGATATAAATGAGTTAATCAACAAATGTTTAGCACCAACTCTGGTTCCAGCGCTGAGGAGTGCTGTTTGGAGTCCTTTTTGCCCAGTGCACAGCCCTCAAGAATGCAATCATGAGACAATTAGAGAGCAGCGCAGGAAAATCTATAATCAACCCCTTTAAGGAATGAGGTAAAGGCTGCTCCAAGTGTAGTATCTGTCTGTGGTCTTGTCTGTTGAGGGGGGTGACCAGCCTGCCAGCCCTCGTCGGGTCGGCCACACCCTGGCTGACTCCAGTGGCCCAGCTCTGGAGACGGGGACCCCGGGATCCCCCAGGGCTCCGGCCAGTGGCCTCGGCAGGTCAGAGGGCAGCGGCTGGAGTCGCGGGGCGACACACGGCGCCCAGCAGAGAGAGGGGTCTTTGGCGTGTTTTCCCTGCTCGAATCAGCCTCAAACGGGCACATCTGCCTGTCTTTAGCCTGTGGTCAGCTGGCCCCTGTGAGGTCAGCAGCAAGACATGGCTCGGAGCCATTCCCCAATCAATCCCGGAGTCACCCGTGGTCTAGGGAGAGGTGGAAACCCGTGCTGAGAGCGTCAGGAGGTCGTTGGGAACTCAATACCACCAGCCGGGTCAGGGCCGGGCCACTGGGGCCCAGGATCTAGGCCGCCAAACCCCAATCTGAGGGCGCCCCACCCCCACCCGCTGCATTCTGGAACGCGTAGTCCCGGAGCGGCCCTTCTGAGAGGGCTGCGAGCGCGGAAAAGGAATAACAAGAGCGGGGCACGCCGGGAACCACGGCGCCCAGGCGCGGACGCCAGGAAAGCGGAGCCGCGATGCTTCCTGGGACTTGAAGTCCAGAGTTTGCCTCCGCGGTGGACCCGGAGCCCGGAGTCAAGTGCTGCAGAGAGCCTCGGCGCGGCCTGCTGGGGGTTGTAGTCTTCTCGGCGGCGGCCCCGGGCAGAACTGGGAGAACCTGGCCGTCCTAGGACTACAAGCCCCAGAAGCGCCTGCGCAGGCAGGGGGCGGGCCGGGATGGAGGCAGGGGTGCCGCCTCCTCTGCAACGCCGGGGCTGGAGTCTTAGAACCCAGGGCCCGTAGGGGTCCCCGCGGCTGCCGCGATGCAGAAATACGAGAAACTGGAGAAGATTGGAGAAGGTAATGGAACCAGGAGGTGTTCCTGCAAGGTCTTCTGCAGACCCTTCGGCATTCCTTGCAGCCCTGGCTCCCCTACCATCAGCAATACCTGCGGGCTCAGACCTCAGCACTGGCCGAAGTCCTGGCCCCCTGGCTCAGCGCTTCGTGCAGACAGCAGTTCCCCCACCCCCCACCCCATGTTAGCATTTCCTGCAGACTCCCACTCCCACCCTTAGCGCTCCCTGAAGACCCGACCTCCCAGCGCAGCACTTCCTGCATTTCCCACCCCAGTCTCAGCACCACTGACACAGCCTCACCCCAAACCCCAGCCTCAGTTCTACCTGCAGACCTCCAACCTCATCATTTCTGCAGGTCCTCAGTCCTCTTCCTGACCGGTCCTCACCATTCCCAGATTCTCCGAGCATCGCCTTATTACTGACATCCTCACCCTGGCAGCTCAGGCTCCCCTCCTGCCCAGACCCTGAAGCCTTGGCAGGCACCTCCTCACCCCTGCCCACTTGCCATATCGTCACTCACAAAGCTCTTCCACGCCTGGCCTTTACCGTGAATCCCTTCCCTTGCAGACTCAGTTGTTGCCCCCTTCCTGGAAGGCATTTCCTGGAGTGGGGAAGCTGCCCCATCCTTTCCCTCACCCCTGACCTCCTCCCGCAGGCACCTACGGAACCGTGTTCAAGGCCAAAAACCGGGAGACTCATGAGATCGTGGCTCTGAAACGGGTGAGGCTGGATGACGATGATGAGGTAGGCCTGGGGATGGGGCCAGGGAGGGGGTTGAGGGCTGGCTGGCTGGGATCTGACTGTTGCCTGTCCGGCGCCCTCACACATGCAGGGAGTGCCAAGTTCCGCCCTCCGGGAGATCTGCCTGCTCAAGGAGCTGAAGCACAAGAACATCGTCAGGTGTGTAGCGGCAGGGCAGGGCCATCCTGGCCTGGTGGCCAGTTGGAGGAGGCGGGGGCTTCAGGGGCCAGGCTGATATTGGGATGTTAGGTGCAAACTTGTGCACTTGCCTGGCTGAGCCCTTCCTTTCCCCTAGGCTTCATGACGTCCTGCATAGTGACAAGAAGCTGACTTTGGTTTTTGAATTCTGTGACCAGGTGAAAGGGGAGTGTGAGAGACAGTAGCTTTGGGAGGGTGTAGGGGTCCAAACTGAGGTTAAACTCTGTCCCATTTCCCCACCCCATCCCTTTTTAGGACCTGAAGAAGTACTTTGACAGTTGCAATGGTGATCTCGATCCTGAGATAGTGAAGGTGAGGAGAGTGGTATCTGGGGCACTCCTCGAGGCTAGGGTTGGACTCTGTATTCAGTGTAAGCACTGTTTGTTTTTGTTTGTTTGTTTGTTTTGTTTTTTTGTTTTTTGAGACAGATTTTCACTTTGTTGCCCAGGCTAGAGTGAGTGCTGTGGCGTCAGCCTAGCTCACAGCAACCTCAAACTCCTGGGCTCAAGCAATCCTCCTGCCTCAGCCTCCCGAGTAGCTGGGACTACAGGCATGCGCCACCATGCCCTGCTAATTTTTTATATATATATTTTTTAGTTGGTCAATTAATTTTTTCCTATTTTTAGTAGAGACGGAGTCTTACTCTTGCTCAGGCTGGTTTCAAACTCCTGAACTCAAACCGATCCACCTGCCTCAGCCTCCCAGAGTACTAGGATTACAGGCATGAGCCACCGCACCTGGCCTGCAAGCACTATTTGAGCACCAAGTTTGGACCCTGAAGCTGGGCATGGTGGCTCATGCTTATAATCCTGGCACTCTGGGAGGCGGAGGCCAGAGGATTGCTTGAGATTAGGAGTTTGAGACCAGCCTGAGCAAGAGCGAGACCCTGTCTCTACTAAAAATAGAAGATTAGCTGGGCATGATGGCTCACACCTGTAGTGCCAGCTATTCCAGAGTCTGAGGCAGGAAGATCATTTGAGCCCAGGAGTTTGAGGTTGCTATGAGGTAGCTGAAGCCACAGCACTCTAGCCCGGGCAACAGAGTGAGACTCTGTCTCAAAAAAAAGAAAAAAAAAATTGGATCCTGAAAAGGGACACTTTGGGATGTCAGAGAATGAGAAACCCTGCTTCTGCCCTCCAGGGGCCTCTAATCTTAGCAAGCATCATCACATCTGAGAGCAACACTCTGACATCAGTGATATTACTTACACTTGAGAGATGAGAAAATGAGGCTCAAAGAGATACAGTCATTCATTCAGCAGATACTTATTGAATGCTTCACTGTGTACCAGGCATTCTCCTAGGCCCACACCAAGTGCCTTGATCCAGGTTCCAGGAGAACTGGGTCCTGAGCAATGCCGTAGCACGCTATTTATGTTGGTGGCTACGGCGCATTTCAGATGCAGCCAGGAAGGGAAGATCACGGGCTGGGAGGGCAGGAAGGCCCATTAGGCTGTAAGGTCCAGAATGGGGTGAGGGAACAGGGCCGGCTTGTTCACTGTTGTCCTTCAAATGCTGGGCACAGTACAAGCAGGTCCTGGACAGTGAGTGAATGGTGTCAGCACCAATGGGTGCTGAAAGGCAGCTGGGGGGTGGAGCAAGGCAGAGGGCGAGGAAGGAGGTGACCCACTATTGGGCACAGGTGCAAGACCAGGGTGTCTGACTCCCTCCTCCCTGCCCTGCACCCCAGTCATTCCTCTTCCAGCTGCTAAAAGGCCTGGGATTCTGTCACAGCCGCAACGTGCTGCACAGGGACCTGAAGCCCCAGAACCTACTAATAAACAGGGTACTTGTGGGGGGAAGGTGGGAGATGGGGGAGGCCGGAGCCAGGGGCTGGGGAGCACTGAGGGGACAGGCCTGGCAGGAGGGAGCCCAAGCTTGCTAAAGGTCTTTCTCCTCGTCCTCTTCCATCCCCCTCAGAACGGGGAGCTGAAGTTGGCTGACTTCGGCCTTGCTCGAGCCTTCGGGATCCCCGTTCGCTGTTACTCAGCCGAGGTGACTGGAGGGTGGGCTGCGGGTTGAGGGAGGGAGTCCCTCAGCTCCTGCCCTGGGACCCGAAGCATTCTTTTCCTCTCCTCTCTGAGCCTCCTTGAACCTCCTCCCCAGCCCTCTAAGTGTCTAAGTGGGGGGTCCCCTCCCACGGGTCTCCTCCAGGTGGTCACGCTGTGGTACCGCCCCCCGGATGTCCTCTTTGGGGCCAAGCTGTACTCCACGTCCATCGACATGTGGTCAGCCGGCTGCATCTTCGCAGGTGACTCGCGGGGGCATTTTGCCTCCCATTTGGGTTGACAAACAGGGTCTGGAGGGTCCCTCTGGGGGCTGGGTTGAAAGGCGTGGGGTACCTTGGTGTGAGGGGTCTTAGCCCCCACCTTCCCCCAGAGCTGGCCAACGCTGGGCGGCCTCTTTTCCCTGGCAACGATGTTGATGACCAGTTGAAGAGGATCTTCCGATATCCTTCTACTTCCCTCCGCCTCGAGCCCTCTGGAAGGGGAGTGAGGGTGGGCTGGCCTGGCCTGGCCAGGACGGCGGGGTCTCAGAGCTTCTCCCGGGGGCGAGCGGGGAGAGCAGGGGGCTGGACACCTGACTGTAGGCAAGCAGGGCGCTGGGGGCAGAGGCCGAGAGAGCGCTCCTCCAGACAAGCCACGGATGCTTGAGGTGCAGGAGCCAGAGGGTGCAGGGCGGTTTTGTGGGAGTAAGGCAAGAGGGACTGGCCCGTCAGGACGTTGCCAGGTGAAGGAAGCCGGGGGGCCAAGTGGGGGCCAGCCTCTGTCACGGCGAGCGAGGAGGAATGGGCTGAGAGGAGGCCAGGGTGGGGTAAAAAGTGCCCCCAGGAGGGGAAGGGCTCCTCCCCCTCCCCTGAAGGTACAGACGAGGCCCTTTCTACGAGTGATCCTTGACCCCGTGGACACGCTGCTGGGGACGCCGACTGAGGAGCAGTGGCCCTCCATGACCAAGCTGCCTGACTATAAGGTATGACGGGGTGGGGGTCATGGTTCATTGGGGTGTCTTCCATGTTCCTAGCAGCCTGCACACCCCACACCCCTGGTCTGCCTCTCTCTGCCCCCCCACAGCCCTACCCAATGTACCCAGCCACGACATCCCTGGTGAATGTGGTGCCCAAGCTCAATGCCACAGGGAGGGACCTGCTGCAGGTAGGTGACCAGGGTTAGAGGCTGGGGTCCAGACACTTGTCCAGAGGGACTAGAGGACGGTGGGGCTCTGGGCAGCTGGCCTGTCCTAAATTGACCACTACCTTTCCTCCCTGTCTCCAGAACCTTCTGAAGTGTAACCCTGTGCAGCGCATCTCAGCAGAAGAGGCCCTGCAGCACCCATACTTCTCTGACTTCTGTCCCCCCTAGGCACCAGGACTGCTGGCCGCCAGGCTGGGGCCTGGCCTATTTAAGCCCCCTCCCGGGAGGGGCGGGGCCCGTGGGTTCGCGGCTCACATGCTGAGCTCCAGCTGTGCTGGGCCTGGCCACAGTGGAGGTGCCCAAGCCCGTGTTCGTCACTCCCTCCGTGGACTTTATTTAATTTCATAAATTGGCTCCTTTCCCACAGTCTGGCTGGTGTGGTGTCCAGTGGCTCTGCAGGGGTGTGGGCTGGGGGTCTCTGCTCTGCAGCCCTGCCTCCAGCTCAGGTCAACCCACTGTCCGCTGCTTGGCCGCCCTCCAAGGGTCCCGAGACTGGAAGCTGGAGTCTATGACCCACCCCTCACTGCTGGGGCAGAGCAGCCTGTCCCTGCACAGCTGCGTTCATGCACACCCCTCCCTTCCTCCACCTGGGAGCGTGGCGGCCAGCGCCTGAGAGCAAGGATGGGCTTCCCCCAAATGGGGAGCAAGGGGCCTCCACTTGTGGTTCTCCATATCCCACGTGGACCCTCCTGTCCCTTTCCTCCTCATGTCCCCTTACTCAGGCCTGCAGGTGGGGAAAGAGGGACCCAAAGGTGTGGTTCCAGCAGGAACCCCACCACCACCCCACATTTGTCAGTTCTTCAATGTCTGGGATGCAGAGAAAGAAAGGGAAATTGAGCCTATGGCTGGGGCCTGGTGTGTCCTTACTGGCAGGAGGGGGAAGGGAGGGCACACCCCACCCCCATGTTCTTAGGCGGGGGCCTTCGGCTCTTGTGGGAGGCTGGGGAAGCAGGAACCGGGCCATGGAGATGGGCTGTGTGCCACGCTTGGTCCCAAGTGTGAGAAAAGGAGTCATGGTCTCCTACGGCAGGACGATAGCTGTGTTCTTGGGAGTGGAATGACCTCCCCATCCTTTCCCTGCTTCCTCCCCCACTCCCAGCCCTGCCCTCACTGCGTGGGCACTACCTACTGGCTGGCTCCTCTGTCCTCACCCCCAAGCTCTGGGCGTGGGCAGTGCCTGTCCTTCCTTCCCTGTGAGACGTCAGTCTGATAGACTCGTTCACACCAAGTGCCCATGCCTGATGTCCTCGTACTCCCATTCTCTCCCAGGGATTCGTGGGGTTAACTGGGGCTCAGCTCCCCGTTTCAGAAGCCATACCCAAGGGGACGATGGGTGGCAGAGGGCTTCTATGCCTGAGTAGGGCTGAGCTGGGCCTGGCTGGTCTCTCCCCGGTAAGAGGAACACCTGAGGCTGATGCATTAAGACTTTATTGGGGTGAAGATGGCAAAGCTCTGCAGGCTGGGCGTGTCCAGGATGCCAACGTGTGGCCCCGAGAATACGCAGGTCTAGAGGCGCGTGACAAGGTAGCAAGTGCGGTGGGAGGCAGAGAGAGTCTTGGTGACGGCACAGGGAGGGGTGGGAGGCCTGTGGGACACACCACAGTGCTGGGGCCAGAGGCCTTCACACCCGCTGCCCTGCTCCTGCCCCTGTCCTCCTGGACCTGGAATTCGCCCCTGGACTGGACCTGCCCGATCTCCCTTGGCCTTAGGGGGCCATGTGGCGTTACCTGGGGCCCAGGCTGAGGTGGGGGACTTGGGTTCGATGGCCGCCCAGCCCTTCCTGAAGCTGTGGGAGGAGGCAGAAGGTCACAAGTGGGGAGGGGCCTCCTCCCAGCCACCATTCAAGGTCACTGCACACCCCTCCCCTGCCACTCTGCTTTTCCTCATGAAGGTAGGGAGGATATTCTAGGGTTGGGGGGGTGCGAGGAAGCTGTTACCAGGTTGGTGCTGGAGTGCTTTTGGGAGCGCCTTCGATTCCAGAAATACCCCAGGACCCTGTCTTGGAACACCTGGAGGCAAGCAGCAGGGAAAGGTGGCCAGTGCACACCTTCCCCCTGCGTCCTAGCGGTGCACTCCTCCCCTCCCCAGAGGGGCCCTGGCCCACCTCACAGAGGTAGTCTAGGATCTCAAGGATGGTGAGCAGGCTGGCCCCAATGAACAGCCCCATCTGGCCCCCAATGTCACCTGTGGAGGCAGGGTCACTTTTCAGGTCACAGCCACCTGCCTTGCCTACACCTCCCTAGCCGGGGCGCTCTGCACACCTAGCAACGCTGACATTTCGTAGGCCTTCTTCTGCTCCACCAACTCGTAGTTGAGGGCCTCAAAGAAGATGTCCAGGACCAGCACGTTCTCCCTGGAGGAAAGAAAGGCCTCGAATGTTCTCTGGACACCCCCAGGTGCCAGCTGCTGGCAAGAAGGCAGTGTGGGAACTCTGGCTCCTTCCAAGACCCTGGGAGGGGCAGGCAGCCCGGGGGGAGAGGTTAAGCAGCCGGCGCGCAGGCGCAGCGCCCATGGGACGGTGTCCAGCCCGGGATGTGCGCGCGAGGGCTCGGCCCAGCCCGCCCGCCCCGCCGGAGCCTGTCAGCCTGCTCGGGGCCGCCCGCCCCGGCCCGGCCCGGCCCAGCTCACGCGATGTAGGCCTCGCTGCGGTTGAATTTCCGGGCCAGGTAGCGGGCGGCGGCGCGGCTCGGGATCCGCACCATGGAGAGCTCCTTGGCGTAGCGCGTGCTGGCGCAGGGGTTGGGGCAGGCGCACGCGTCCTTCCGCTGCATGGCGTCTGCGGGCACGGGGCGGGTCAGCGCCGCCCGCCCGGCTCGGGGCAAAGGCGAGGCGGGGCGGGGTGGGGAGGTGGAGGCGGGCGAGGCTCGCCCTTACCCAGTGCCGCGCTGGCGCAGTCCTTGTGCTGCTGGGGGCTGCAAACTGGCGCGCTGCCTGGGGCGGGGTGGGGAAGAGACGGCGTCAGGGGCGGCCCAGCGCCCTGGCTGCCCACAGGACGCAGCCCCTTCTCAGCCCCTTACCAGGCATGTGCATCATTCGACAGCCGCACTTCCGAGCCACGTAGCGGGTCTCGCAGACCAGGCGACACCCCGTTAGGCTATAGGGAGGGCTGCTGCTGGTGCTGGGGGGACCAGGGGGATCAGAGGGCTCAGGCTCAAAGTCAGGGTCCAGAGACACGGAACTGCAGTCACCCCAGGGCGGTGGCAGGAAGCTCAGCTGTGGAGGGACGGGTCAAGGAGGCTCTGGGAGAGGGAGGTCCTGGGGTGGAGGCCCAACAGGCCTGACACTGAGGGTTTGGGGTCTGCGGTGTCGTGGGCACCTTGGGGGGGTGGGGGTTTTGAGGCACAGGTGAGGATACTTGCTGCTGCTGGCAGGACACGAAAGTCTGGTAGCCGGGGGCCACCCCAAAGCCCAGCTGGTCGATGAGGGGCGGCTCCTCCTGGCTGTGGATCTGCACCCGGATCCCCACCTCAAACAGCGTCTCCTCTGCGGGACAAGGGCCTTTGAGGCCTGAGGCCCCTCTGTCAGGTCTCCTGTCCCAGCCAGGCAAGACCTCTCCTGAAGCCCCCTACCCCCAGGACTGGGATGAGCCAACCCTGCCCCTTTTCACAGGAAAGGGCATGCTTCTGGGTCCCATCCTGGCCTCCTCCCTCCTCTCCTTCCCCTAGCTTTTTGCACTCCATCCGTGTTCTCCAGCCTTGACATGTGCTTCACGCCCACGTCCCTACCCACAGGCAGCCCCCCAGCCTCACATGTGTGCTCATACCCATGTCCTTCCACATGGGCAGATACTCCTCCTGCTGCACGTCCAGCATGATCTCCAGCCCATTGCCGGCGCCACCCTTGGTGATGGTGAGCAGCTCTGCCCCGTCAGCGCCGGAGTTAAAGGTGTAGCACTGCCCCATCCGGGTGAAGATCTAGGGACGCGCAAACAGGATGACCTTCCTCTCCCCCAGGAGAGGCAAGCACGTGGGCTGTGGGAACTCTCCCCTTCTCATGCTCTGTTTGGGTCTCTTCTCTGAATACTGCAGCCCGAATCTCAATGCCCCCAGCCCCACCCTCCATTGGGGCACATGTAGTTGGACCCTTTTGGGGGGAGCCCACCACTCCACTTCTCCACCCCCCCACCCCACCCCAAAGCCCAGGGCACAGCCCACAGGGCAAGTATTTCTCTGGGGGCTGGGATAAGAGGAGATGGGTCCCAGGTGCCCTCTGGAATGCTGAAAGGCAGATGCAAAGCAAGTCCCTTCCCACTGGCAGAGAGAGGGGTCTGCTGCCCCAGAACAGCCCCACTAGGGAGACTTTCTCCCACCCTCAGGAGCAGGGTCTCCACAGGCCAGACCATGGGCCTGGAGCCAGCCTGGGGCATGTCCCTCCCAAGGAGGACTGCTTCCCTGGCTGGACAGAACGTAGCCTGTGTGTGCAAAGGAAGGGATCCCTGGGCAGAGGGTGTTAAGGTTCTCCGACTTTGGGGGAGCCTGGCTGGCAAGGCCAGGGATTCCGGGTGCTGGGCAGGGACCAGCTGCCCTCTGGGTCCCTGGACAGGACAGGTAGGGCAGCCAGCTCACCGCAGTGAAGTTCTCAGGCCCACACGGTTGGCCGCGGTAGCTGCAGTCCAGCAGCATGTCATCCAGGGTGTGCCCAGCACGGGCGTAGAGCTGTGCCATGTCGAAGGTGGGACTGGGCATGAAGCCAGGCGGCGCAGGGGGCCGGCCCAGGGCACGTAGGAAGGCCGTGTGCTCCGCGGGGTCCAGGCCCAGCAGCGCGGGCCCGGCCCAGTGCAGGTCATTGTGCGTGAGGCGCGAGCGGCGCAGCGGGTTGATGTTGCAGAGGGTGATGGCCGGGAAGGTGAGCCGGTGGCTTTCTCGCTCGTCCAGGGCTGTCTGGTGGTGGAACTCCTGGTAGTAGCTCACTCTATCAGCCACCTGGTAGAGGAAGGTGGCCACCGACAGGAGCACGGCCACGGCCCACAGCCCCCGGCGCACAGTCAGTCTCCCCGGCCCGAAGACGTGGCCCAGCCCGTGCAGCGTGCAGCTGCTGGCGAACACGTGGAGGTCCGAGGCCCGCAGCCGGGCCTCCTCCGGCCCTGGGGGCTTCATGGCCAGAGCCCAGGGAGAGCTGAGCGACCGCGAGGGCTGGGGGCTGGTGACCAGCTACAGGGGCTTGGAAGGAGCGAGAGAGGGTCGGTGGGAAGGCTGGGAGGGTTGAGACAGGATTCTCGTGTCCAGGCAGGGGCTGCTGCAGGTGAGGCAGGGGGAGGAAAGGAGAGGAGTGGGTGGGAGAAGAGTCAAGGGTGAGAGGTGGGAGGCGCTGGCCTGGTGGGCTTCGAGGTAGTGACCTGGGTGGTCCAGCTCGGCCTTCCGCAGGAACAGGCGGTGGCTCCGCTGGGCCAGGGGGCTCCGCAGCCAAGGCCAGGTGGGGCGCAGCCAGCCGTGGCAGGCAGGGGCTGCTGAGTGGCGCTGGGGCGGTGCTGAGCTGAGCTGCCGCAGAGGATTGGGTTTCAGCAGCGAGGGGGGCAAGGGGCTGGCTGAGCAGCCTGGGGGGCGGGGGAGGTCCCTGGGGCCCCAGGCTAAGCCATTAGTGCAGCGTGGGGGGTGCGTGGCTGTTGGAGACTAGAGGCGCCAGGAGGAAACCACAGCGATCCTGGCTAGGGCTTCAGGGGAGCCCAGAGGTAAGTTGGGTCTGGGGGTGCTTTGGGGCCTTCTAGGTTCCAGTTGCAGCCCCTGTATGTCCGGCCCGAGGGTCAGTCGCTGACCCTTGGCCTGGCTCCTCCATCCTTCTGCCTCCCCTGTCTTCCCACTGACCTCACCCAGGAGCATTTGTTCTTTCACAAAGAGTAGTGCTGGCTCTTGACCAAGCTGGAAAGTAGTTGGAACTTTGGCATCAGTAGACCTCTTCTTTCTGCCCCCAGTGTCCCAGCCTACACTGGATGGCCAGGGGCCTCTTCAGGTCCCACATCCAGGGCCTGGCTGTTTCTTGAGTGTCTCTCTCTCCCTAAAGAGACCTCACCTCCTCACACGCAGGCCCTCCCATTGGGGAGGCTGGCCTCTACCATGATGTGTGTGGGCTCCCCTGCTACCCCCGGGAAACATGGGTGCCCCACCTGCCATCCTCCCAGGTACGTCACAGGCATCCTAGGACTTCACATCTCGCAATGTGATATCCAGGCCAGGAAAACGCTCTCATTCTTTTAAATAGCTGCCTGCCACCTGGTTATGCAGATAGTTTATTTAATGGTTCCCCTATTGATGAACACTGGGGTTCCTACCTCTTTTGTTACAACATTGCTGTCAACCCCACTGCACAGATATGGGCTCCCAGAAACAGAAGTGCTATGTTAAAAGGTCACTGTGTTGGTAATATGGTAGATGACATCAAATTCCCCCTACAGGACTCATGCCAATTTGTACTCCCACCAGCAACATGGGAGTGTACCTGTTTGCACAGGGCTTTTCTTTTCTTTTCTTTTTGAGACAGAGTCTCACTCTGTTCCCTGGGTTAGAGTGCTGTGGCGTCAGCGTAGCTCACAGCAACCTCAAACTCCTGGGCTCAAGCGATCCTTCTGCCTCAGGCTCCTGAGTAGCTGGGACTACAGGCATGCGCCACCATGCCTGGCTAATTTTTTCTGTATAGTTTTAGTTGGCCAATTACTATCTTTCTATTTATAGTCGAGATGGGGTCTCACTCTTGCTCAGCCTGGTTTCAAACTCCTGACCTTGAATGACCCGCCCTCCTCGGCCTCCCAGAGTGCTAGGATTATAGGTGTGAGCCACCACGGCCAGGTCTGCTCAGGGCTTTTCTAAAGGAGTCACTGTGTCCTTGAACCAGCATGGTCTGAAAGCTGGCCTAGAGAGGGCAGGGCCAGCACAGTGTGTTATTTGCCTGAAGACTCTTCTGATGATCCGGAGGCGATGGGTTGGGGCTAGGGGTGGGGAGGACGCCCAGAGCCCAGGGCAGAGAACTCCAGAAAGCAGAGTTGCTGTTCACAAGGTCAGTGTCAGCAGGCCTGAGGTGGGACTAGGGTGTCCTGCTGATCCATGGCCCTTGGGATGAGCTGCTGCCCGGCTCAGGGCCACAGGGGCCAGCCCAGGAGCACAGCAGGGAGGAGAGCCAGGGCCTGGTCCTTGTCAGTGTCAAGCTTTGCGTTTGGTCAAATGCTCATCAGCCCCATGTATCTTGCAACTGGGCGACACTTCCCTTTAGGCCTGAGAGAAAGCAGGCTCGTCTACATTACTTTTTTTTTTTTTTTTTTGAGACAGAGTCTCGCTTTGTTGCCCAGGCTAGAGTGAGTGCCGTGGCGTCAGCCTAGCTCACAGCAACCTCAAACTCCTGGGCTCGAGCTATCCTTCTGCCTCAGCCTCCCTGGTAGCTGGGACTACAGGCATGTGCCACCATGCCCGGCTAATTTTTTTATATATATATCAGTTGGCCAATTGATTTCTTTCTATTTATAGTAGAGACGGGGTCTCGCTCTTGCTCAGGCTGGTTTTGAACTCCTGACCTTGAGCAATCCGCCCGCCTCGGCCTCCCAAGAGCTAGGATTACAGGCGTGAGCCACAGCGCCCGGCCTACATTACTTATTGACCAAAATTTATTTCTACTCCATCTTCTTCCAAAAAGCATTTGAGGCTGCCAAGTTCATTTTGGTGGGCTTTAGCCATGAGTTCTAGAAACACCGTTCCACCAACCACATGTGAACACACCAAGCTATAATTGCCTGCCCTCCTGAAGGGACCACAAGCTTCATGGGGGCAGGGCCACTCTCATTCCCCACGGTAGGCTCAGTGGGACAGGGTAAGTGCTTACTTAATAAATAGTTTGGAAGGACTGAATGAATAACATGGTTTATAGTACAGATGTGACAACTTTCCAAGGCTACAGCACTGGGATTTCAAAATATTTTACAGTAGATTATCCATTTAAACACTTAAAAGGCTCTCTAGATCAAGCACAGCCAGGCATCTTGTAGCTGGCAGGCTGTGAAGTCACCCAGGGAACGAGTGCAGACAGCTCAGCTCTTCAAGCTCAACTGGCCGTGGGGTGTCACCACTTCCCTAGTGGGTGGAGGGAGGAGGAGGGCTGGACTCCGAGAAGCCACCCTGAAGATGTAAGCAAACACCCAGAATCTGGTGTCAGAAGGCATCTTGGGCAGTGCAAGGCTGAATAGTGAGGCCCACAGGGGAGGCGTGGGGCAAACAACCTGGGCCACGCGGGCAGCATGGGCTTGTCAGGAAGCGGAGGCCCTGAGCTGGGCTGCGCTAGGCAGGGATTTGGTGGCGATGCAACCTGAAGCCAGCACCAAGCTCTATGCAACCTCTAATCAGTCAGGAAGCAGGATATCATGGGGGCGGGTGTGGCCCTGGGGCGGCTTGTCCCCAAAGTAGCACGTGGTCCCAAACCGTGCTCACAGAGGCTTCGAGCCACACCCCAGCTCCTGCACTTACACCTGAGCCACTGCTGCCTGTCCCAGGTTGGCCTACCCGCAGCAGCAGTTGCTGTTTCAGCTGCTGCCACCAACCCTGAAAGATGGCACCTGCCCTTCTTTGCCACAGGATAAATCCGAAATGCTGGGCTGGCACTGAAGGTATACCGCAGGAAACCCCACTTCCCCTGCCCCAGGGAGCAGGGCTCTGTGGAGTCCCACAGGCTGTACAGCAGAAGGATCCCAGTGGAAAGTGACAGCAGCACCAAGGCAAGAGGCCACTGGCCCTGGGAGTAGGTGAAGAGGGTGACACATCTGCAGCAGCACAGGGACATGAGGTCTTGACTGCTTCTCGGCCCTGGGGCACCAGTTCAACCCAAGGCCCTCCTTGCATGGTTTCCAGACCTCCAGAAGCGGGCTGGAGCCCAGCCCTGCCTTGCTCACATCTCTGGGGCTCCATGCACGCGCCACTCAGGCTGTCTGCACCTCCCTTTCAAGGTGAGCCTCCCAGACCACTCTGGGGAGGCTGGTCTCTCAGTGACATTGTATTTTGCACTAACTACTCTTTGCTGGGTTTGGACTTGTTAGTACTATGGCCCGGCAGCTGAGAGTCCTAGGTGTGCACCTGGCCCCTCCTCTGTCCCCTTGAGGGCCGGTGTTCTGGGGGACTGAGAGGGGAGGCCAGCAGCAGACAGCCAGGCAGGCGAGGTGCTTCTCCCAGGCCACCCCACACCCTGCCCCTCCTACCCTGACCCAAGGGCCGGGCCGTGTTAGGCATCTGTCCTCTTGGGCATGGGGTGGGGAGGCGAAATCTGGAAATCAGGACTGTGTTAATAGAGCTGGGAGGAGAAAGGGAGGTTGCTTGGAGGATGGGAGTATGGGTTCCAGAGTGGGCCAAGGGCTAGGCTCCTTCTTCCAGCCCCAAGGGGTGGTGGGGAAGAGGGATTTGGGGGTCAGTCCCCAGTCTAGGGCAGTGAGGTCCTATCCAGGATGTGGGAGGAGCCTAAGTCTGGATTCCCAGGCCCACCCAGGCCCTGATTTTGTAAAGTTCTCTGCAGCTGGGGCCCTGGACCACTGAGGCTGTTAGGCTGAGCAGGAACCTGGCTGCAGATTCTGAGCCGGGCTGGGGCGGAGGAGGGGGGGGAATGTCTGAGCAAAGGGAGAACAGAGTGCAGGGGCCTTGGGACTCTGCCTCCTCCTACCTCCTCCTCCTACCTCCGCCCACGCCCACGTGCAGCCCAATGACTCTGGGAGGAGGAGGCAGCCTGTTGGGACTGGGGAGCCGGTGGGAGGGCTCCCGGCCTCCTGAGTGCTGGTTTTATTGTGAGTAGGGGAGCAGCAGCGACTGTCACACAGCACACTGGCCCTCCTGGCAGCTCAGTCCCCAGTGAGCTGCCCCAGCTGAGCCCGGCCCTGGCTCTGATGCTTGGCAGAGACCTCGGAGGACGCCTCTCAGGACTTGTGCTGGTGGTTCCCGGGGCCTTCAGGCTTCTTGGGAGGTGGGGATGCCAGCGGCCCCTCCAGGACCTGGCTCCGGATGAGCTCTGCGTACAGCCCGCCCTTCCTCAGGAGCTCTTCATGGGTCCCAGCCTGGGGGACAGGAGGGAGGGATGGTTGCTCTACCCAGTGTGGCGTTCACAGCCCTAGGAGGGTGGAACTTCTTTACCAGTCATTGGGCTCATGGTCACTTAAGCCAGTGTCCTTTCTGGGGACACTCTGAAATCAAAGCCCAGTGGGAAAGGAACTGGCACTGGCACAGCTGCATTATTAGTCAGTGCCACTGCCCACTTAGCTGAATTTTGGAAGAATGTGACTCCTCGTGTCCCCGTTATAGCGCCCAAGGCTCTAACTCAGGACCTCATAACCCATAAAAGCCCCTCAGTCTTGGCTTAAGTGATTGGCTGGGGGCTATGAGCCCCCATGTTGCCTGCACCTGACTGGTCCCCAATCTGGGTGCCTAGATCGGGGTGCCTAGCACTGCCTCCTCTGCACCTCAGCCCCTGGGCAGCCAGCCCTGC